CTGGACAATTGTATGGCATTCAGTTATTCAAAGAAAAGTAGATTTTTATTTTTATTATGATCCAGTTTAATTTCATGGTTAACCAGTAGTTTAGACTTGACCTCACTTAACCTGATGGCAATGTAAAAATTGTGCTTTTTGTAGCTATAATTAATCACTAAACTAATGGTTTTGTAGTGGTAAGTTACGTATTATAAACCCATCAATTTAGTGCTTAACCATAGCTGGAAAAATATAATTTTTACATTATCATCATCAGATTAAATCCAGCTATAAGTCTACATCCAAAAAAATAAATAACTGAGCCTATAAATCATATATAAATTGACATTGCGTCAAAATTGACTGTAGACTAAATAATTTACGACGCGTTTATCAATGAATATTTTAAAATCTGCTAGAAGATAAAACGTCCGAATGATAATCTCGCGTCAATGCTTTCATTGAACTACTCTGGAAGAACACAAATGATCAGAGTTGGGTAGAGAAATAGCGGTGTTTACGTTCCGGCGTTACTAATCCCTTTGCGTTTATTTAAAACAGGGCTGAGATCGTAATGAGTGCGCGAGTGAATCGAGAGTTTCGGAAACTCCGTTGAAGGACCTGACCGAGACTCGGAGGTTCGCCATCTGACGAGATCGGCTTTCATTTGGCTATGGTTAACCAACATTAAAGCATTTCGCATAAACTCATGCTATCGAACGGTACATAGGCGTCGCCTTCACAATCCGTTTATAGACTCCGTTACTGATAAGGAAACAAAAACGTTTGGAAGATTGGGAAAATGTGCGCATACAAATGACTGTAATGTACTTACCACAAAACATGAACACGAAATGGAGGTTGAGAGGTTCAATCCAGCATCCTTTCGATGTGCTGGAAAGTTTAATAAAAGATAAAAATTAATAAAATCAGCTATGTTAAAGTCTCGTATGAGATAACTTATACTATTTTAGCAGAATGATGTAAAGAATTTTTTAAGTTATAAATTTGTGAAGTTTGATCGAAATTATTGTGAAATGACTTCTTTGATGTTTGAGATCGCACATCAGATCTGTAAATTTGATGGTGACCTCGTCTCAAATATTCGGAGGAGTATAGAGACTATTTAAGATGACTCCAAAGTAGAGTCGAAACGTTTGTTAATTTTAAAGAGTAAATAGATAATTACGTACAAAGAACCACATTTGACTCTCAATTGCCTGATCCTTGGATACATTTTTTATGATTTAATAAAAATTAATATAATTTAACGGGCAACGAGCTGAAATTGTTGCGAACAAAATGTTGAGCCGAATTGCGGTACTTTGTATAAGAAACGTCTTTCTGTCAATCTTTGCAATTTGCTCCATTCGCACCACATAATATTTCTTTATTTAGCAAGACAATATTTTGTAATTGTTTTAATCTTTGCGACCTTCCGACTAAACAACAATAATTTTGATTCGACGTTTATAATAGTTGACTACAATTTTTCACAAGCATCCTAATTAATAACACAAAGTTTTAAGAATCTTTCGCATTTATTGTAAATTTCCGTTTAAGAAGTTGATTATTTGTTAACATTTTGAGAATGACCAAGATCGGTGTCGAAACATTTATTTATTTCGTTTTTTCAACTGTATTATTTTTGTTCGGCTCGTTGCCGTTAAATTATATTAATTTTTATTATTATTAATTTTAATAAGATAAATTTATAATAATTATATTAATTGTAGAAAGATAAATATAACTAATAATATAAATTCATTAAAAAATGTAAATAAATACATGCATATGTAATTATTGTAAAACAATTTAGATGAATGAAACATACGAGTATTATAGAAAGAGAGAGTATAAAAATATTAAGTACCATATCATTGCGCATTTCACCACTTGAGAATTTTTTAAAATAAATAGAAATATAAAGCATGTATCGGATGAGCGGGCTTAGAGTTGGAAAATAAAAGGAACAAGAAAATCACGCGGAAAGAAGGCATGAGGCGACGACGAAGACGCGAGATATAACGAAGTGCCGTAGACTTATAAAAATAAACGTCGGAAGGTTTTTAAGTCGAAATCCGGATTCCGCAGCGAGAAATCCGGAAGGTGGAACTTCGCAGTGTAAAGGAAAGAGAGAACGCGAACGTAGGGACGAAGACAGAGGGAATGTCTCAGTATACCGTTAACCACTGAAGGGGTTAACCGTCGTCCCCTGGTATCATCCATTGCACAAAAGCCATAAAAGCACGCGCTGCCCGGTTATTTCGGTCAATTCTCGAGAAGGCCGCCTAGAAAATATTCACATCGATCTACCAGCTGACCCCCCTCTCTCTCTCTTCCTATTTCTCCCCCATAATACGTAACGCGCGGGATGCACATTCGTGTGCACGTACACGCACGCGTAGCGGGAACAAGTTCGTCTCGCCGCAGGAACAGATACCCTGATACTCGATCTATATATGATGCGCCTCAAAGTGCTCTTTCGAAGGTAAGCACAGAGGCCAGGTCAACCGCATCACTCCTCGACATCACAAAAAGATATAACAATCCGTTTGTCCGTTCGTTCGTCAGAACACGGGGGTTATAAATACCTAGGTATTATATGTTGATACAGTCGGCAATTTTTCGGCATTATAAATAACGCATCACTCAATAAGTCCCGGGCCTGACATAATAGATGGCGCACTGATAACAAATCCATATGATTTTTTAGAAAGTAACTGAACCTTCAAGCGTACGTGTCAAAATTTTAGCTCAATCGGACCTTTACTTTACAAGTTACACTGGTTTAAGTGACGCTACTTTTGTCGAATTTGGGCGACCGGAGCGTTCAGCATCATTTGTATTTTTACGACCGCGTTTCAAGTCAGCATCCCACCTCTTAACTGTTGTTTCCGACGGAGCAGAGTCCGAATAACACTTATCAAGCCATCAAGCTTTGCTTAAACGGTATTTTTTTCCCATCAGGAAGCAATGCTTTAGGCTAATTCTACAATGTGCTTTTTGTTTCCTGTTTCGTGCTATTTGTCTCTTGCCTTCTTGATCAAAAAGCCAAGAGGACAAACAGAGACAAACAGCAAAAAACAGGAAACAAAAAGCACATTGTAGAATTAGCCTTATCAACACACGAAATTCAGATTTTTCCATTGTTCTGAAAAATGCAAAAGTACCGTTCACTTAAATCACTATAACTTGTAAAGTAAAGGTCCGATTGAGCTACAATTTTGACAAGTGTGTTTGAAGGTTCAGTACTTTTTAAAAATCATATGGATTTGTTATTAGTGCGCCATCTATTATGTCAGACCCGGGACTGACTGAGTGATGTGTTAAATTCCCGACATGCGCACCGCACACGCGTATATAATCTCGGCCCGATTTATCCAGACGAGCTATTATCGGAGGGCGGTATAAAAGGGTAGCGAGAGCAGCCGATAGCGGAGACTTTCGGGGATAATTCCTGCCCGCCGGGATCACCGCGTGTAATTCTGCATAATTCCTCCCGACAGATGTGAACCTTTGATTCAACTTCCCATAATAGCCTCGTTGTGTGTGTGTGTGCCGATTTCCTAGTTAAAAGACGGTGCAATCTTGTCGCTTCGATTCCCAAATTTGAATTTCGAATGTGAACTTCGACACAAAAATGGGCGACAACTTTATTGCGATCTTTTCCGATAGCGTATATAACAGACTAATATCAGATATGCAAAAACTTATATATGTATATCGCGATTATATTACTTCGACGTCTAAAATATTAAAAGATTTACCTATCGTGTACTTTTTCGATTCATTCGAGAAAATTACGTGTCTACTTTTAAATTTCAACGTAAACTGTTAAATAATGTTAATAATTTTTAAATCACAATGGCAGAAAAAAAAGATGTTTACTTCGAACAAAATGTATACGTTACGAACTATCAGAAAATAGACTTTGTTATCCAAACGTGGCGTTTATAGCAAGTGCGGGATAAGTCCTCTCCCGCGGAATATTCGAGATAAAACGATACAGAGAATTACCTGTTTTGTTTTTATAGTGCGCTGACGGTAATGAATGTTGCCTTTTCGTTTTTTGTAAACACGTACCTAGATTCTCTATGGTGATATGAATAATAAGATTCAGTATTACGACATTTTGCATTAAAAAGCAGAGCGCGCACCCTTTCTATCCTGCCCGGCGTCATTGTGTTTTTTATACGTTATTTAACGCGTGGATGAGGAATCGCAAAAACAAGACGCGCCGAGGACATTTACATGAAAGAAACGTGAAGTTCTGAATCGCGACGGCATCTCATCTTTAAATCTTTAGATTTAATCCGGCGTGCGAAAGGCTAAGTTGTCTTCTACGTCGGCATGGTAAACTGGCACGCGAAGCGCGACGTGACAAATATCTGGCTATTTACATAAAGCGCACATAAAGTCATGAGACGCGCGATACAGATCCCGCGTATTCCGATTCTGAAGTTTAATGCGGAAGAAAGTCGAGAGAGCGGCGCGGCGCGTCTTCATCCGCGGATACACTCCGGCGAAGAAGGCGGCTCGGTTGAAGCGCGCTGAGAAATCATAACATATCGCTGGAAAGTGTTCCACGATAACTGTCTGACATTTGCATGAAATAAGGATTCTAAGCGTAGACGTAATTCCGTACTCGGATTCGCGAATTTAATCCAGGCAAGAGTTACGCGCCCTCGTTTACTATAAGGGAGAAACGTACGGCACACCGTAAGGAGAAAAACACGAAATATTTCTTCCCTTTACTCCATGTAATGTAATATTTAATTACACAACCATAACTTATTACAACACCTAACTATTCTCTTCTACCAGCAGAATATATAAGTCTTGATAATAAGTCACCCATACATATGTAACAATAGCTGTACAATCTGTACTTAAAAGTTTCCGCGGTCTTTTCTCTCTCCCTCCCCGCGTAAAGTATAAATACACTCGCGACAGTTTAGAATAAATCGGACGCAATAAATTATTCGTATAAAAGAAGTCACGTTTTTACTTTTCAGAGCCAAAAACCGAGATTTTAGGAGCGCCGGAGTTGTTCATCAATCGAGGTAGCACCATCAATCTCACGTGCGTCGTTTTGCAGAGTCCAGAACCACCCGCCTACATTTTCTGGAATCACAACGATGCGGTGAGTTCGATCTGTCTCCCGATTTATTAATACTCTTATTTCTTCGGTGTGTATATATAGGTACATCTAGCAAGTCGTGCTTGAGCTTAAGCTCGCAACATTTATATACGCGAAACGAATATAATACGCAGACGACGCTGCAATATCGCACGATTAGCAAGACCTAGATATATTACTGACGCGCGCGATTCTGGCCAACGTTGACTTTGCGCGCGGATAATTAATGATGATCCTACTTCCCGAGATATATTCTAATATTACGGAAGGCAACACGTCGAATAAGTTTCTACTTCGCCGCCGCGAGACCCAAGTTTCCGCGAGATGAAATTTTCAGCTCCGGCTGAAACTTCCGTCTTTCCTCGCCATGTTTATTGCGTGCACAGTTGTTTCAGATTATTATTGTCGCTGCTGCTCTGTTGTTATTATATTATTACATCCTAAGAATTTTTTCTCATTAATTTTCTACAACTATAACACTTCGGAATATGTAATGCCTTAACAATGAGATTTATATCTCATTGTTAGACAAAAGAAAGTTTCATTTTCTCCTTTAATCGATATAATTCATCACAGACTTTTTAATTATAAGAACATTTCTTTATTAAATGGTTATTTTATTAATAATGTATAAAACTTTAATACAAAATCACAATAATTAATTAAGTAAAATATTAATGGCTATACAAAGTCAAACGCTGTTTTCGGTGCGCAAATTATGTACAAATATATCTTTGATACAAAAATTCACCCGTGTGAAGCTGGCCCCCCAATATTAAAAAATCGATTTTTTTCTTCATGCATTCGTTTGCTCATCGTTTGCTCACAAATCTTTTGAACTAAGGGTGAGCAAACGAAAATTCCAACTGAGCATTCATGAGCAAACGATGAGCAAACGAATACATGAAGAAAAATATCGATTTTTTAATATTGGGGGGCCAGCTTCACACGGGTCAAAAATTCGGTCCTCAACGTTTCGGTCCTAACAGCGTTTGACTTTGTATAGCCATTATAATATTTTACTTAATTAATTATTGTGATTTTGTTTTAATCATTAAGAGTCTTTAATTTAATTAAAAATTTTGATTATTGTTATTAATTTAAAATGCGAAAAATATAAAATTTATATTTTAGAAGAAATTATTTTTTAATAAAAAAATATATATAGGAAATATAATAAAATTTTTAAAAGTTTCTCTATTAAAAATTGACTATTTCGTGTGTTCTTTTCGATCCATATAATTTCGAGAATCCATGCGGTAATACAACTAGTAGATTTCAAATGGCTGTATCTGAGAAATCTGTCTCTCGCGAATTTTGCTGCAGCGTAATAGCAGCGAAGAGATGCGTGATAAATGGCCGTGCGGGCGTCGGCGAAGGTCGTTCTTAATTAGGTACTTCGCCTGGAACTCCAGGAAGTCGAACAGTTCCGATTAGAGCACTGATAGAGGACGGTAGGCGCACTTAACCACCTGCTTGTCATACAGGAATGTTGAGCGGCTTGAAATGTTTCCGTAGCTAAGAATTAATCGAGCTGTATTTGCATCTTTCCGGCTGAAATATTTTTGTCACAGTTATTCGGCCATCGAAGAGAGAGAGAGATAATGGACAATATTTATCCATTCGTGTAATAAAAGTACTCTCAGAGTGTTTGCGCATAAATTTATTATAATTAATATATTACGCAGGTCGCACGAATTTAAGCCAACCGAAAATAATAATGTTTAAAAACTCGAATTTAAACTCTTAAAATATGTTGTTACGTGCGAATACTCTCCTGAAAACTTTCTTTTATAAATAAAATTTTTTGATATTTCCGTTTAAAACGACGGAGCACTAATAACGAAACCCAAATAAGTCAGCAAATTATTAAACACGAATTAATTATCAAACTGAAAAATGTATTTATCATTTTCCTATTTTAATACTTATTTTCAATGAAATCTCTCTTATTGGTATTCTGGAACTTAGGACTTCCATCCGAGACATATCTTTTCAGTTTTTCACGCGATAACAAACTTTTTCTGGCGGATGAATTAAGTATGTGCGCGCGCACAAAGGGGATCATAAAACATTCCGACGGCGGTGGCGGCGACTGTTTGCGAACGGCTGACCGGCCAATAAATTTTGATAATGTCCTGGTTGGCTGGCTCGCCGCTAAATCGTGAGAGTCGCGGCAAAATTGGTAACGGCACTCAGGAGGTTCCATTAGGCGCATTAAGCCCTGACCGAGAGCTTTGGGACTCGCTTGGGTACGTAGAAACAACGTTCTCTCGCAAGCCTTAAAGAGAACTCCGTCGTGCGTGACTAACGCGTGCAGCCTCGAAGGGTTCTGGACCGTAAATGAGCCGAGAGGGACTCCCTAATACCTCAGATATCATTCCGTCAGTCCCTTCGTCTTTTCTCGTTAGGTCCTGTGGAAGATATTGATAACACCCCGCGCGTGCGATTAGCGTTATCTTATTAGAAAGACATTGAATGTGATAAAACAAGTTCAGAAGAGCTGTACCATATTATGTCGCATCACCCAATAGAAATAATATCGTTGAGATAGTCTTACGAGAATCTTTTTACACAAGTATACCTTCGTTTTATCCTGACTACTTTTCACTTTGCACTTGGAGGATTACGCGTGTGGATTTCCGCGAAAGCTTCCTTAGTCCAACAGACCAAGACGCGCGTCTCTAGATCATCCTCTTTAAATATTTCGTCAGCGCTTTCGATACTTTTGGCAAAGAGATCTAATAAAAGACTACATATAGGAGTTCTCGCAGGATCGATTAAAACTATTAAAAGACAGGTAAAGTAGTCGTGCGATAGCGAGATGAGGTATTACACGCATAATCGCGAGATTATGCCCGCTCATAATGATTCATGCGTTCGGGGAGGATGTTACGATGGGCTTCGGATATGACGTACCTACGACCGATAAGGAACGGAAGGAACAACCTTCCCTTAGAAAGGAATCGTCCCGGGGGAACTGACTGAAATTCTCGTCCGATAATAAAGTCGGCCCGATCGATTCACCGCGACGCGAAACATTTTCCGGCCGCAAGGAATCTACCAAAGCCACCCAGGCGCGTTTGCTTTCACGCTCCGATACACCTTATCCCTTTGATTTTGATTGAATTTCGTGCCCGCGTCTATTGCGGCGACCGCACCTTGAAGCGACCGTCGCTTGTAGATCAACGCGGTACGATATTAAAATCTCTTTACCTGCATCTTAAAGATACTCCAAGTGCCTTAAAACGTGTGAATAATATTTCGATATTACGCTAAAATTTTGCGAGGAAAAGATTTTGTTTAAAAAATTCAACCAAAGTAAAAAAAAATTCATCCTCAAAATTAATCATGCGGCCTCGCGTTTTGACCAGCCCCACGCAGTAAAGTTCTTTAATAAAACAATAAATGTTAAGTAATTATTGACAATGTAATTATAAGTTTTTTCATTTTATAACATCAGTAAAAAAAAAATTACAGTATATTTTATTTACGTATATTTGATTATTTATTACACATTTCATTACTGGTATCATAATATTGTAGTGTATTATTATATTAATTTAAAAATGTGATTCTCACCAAAATTGTTTCCAAATTATTAAGTTGGCAGCAGCTTGGTAAGTCTATAGGAAAATTGACTCATGGATCTTACTTGCATATGCACCGAATTTGACATATTTTAACATGTATTAATGTAAATATAATTGCTCCTCTTTTTGGGAGGTGTTTGAAGATAACAAGAATAATTGAACTTCTCTTTCTCAGAATAATAATAATAATAATAATATAATGTTATTATATTGTTAACATCATTTTTAAAGATGTTTATGTTATGTTCTTAAATCTTTTCGTTATATTTTTCTTATTCGATATTACTTAATAACGGCCATTTTATTATAATTTGTATATTTTGTATATTTTGAGGTCAAAATATCTCGAGGACACTCAAGATAAAGGCTGGTGTAACTTTCGTTGATGTATTAACTCTATTGTCGCGAGTATACCTATATCGATCTTTCGAAGAAAGCGTAATTCGCGTGTCGTCTAAACGTAGGAAATTGCTCGATATCACCAAAACAGAGCCGTAAGGCGTGTACGACAAACAGCAGGGGATTTATGCGTGCTCGTAAAAGTTATTTTTCGTTCATTCGCAGCCATTCGCCGCGTCACGCACGGACACACGCGGTACCACATTCTCGTGCAAATACATAGAGTAAACCCGGTATATACGCCGCGTCAGCAAATACGCCGCAGAAGTCAGAAAAAATAGAAGGAGTGGGGATAATTTTCCGTCAATTACTTTGTTACATGCCTTTATGGTATATTAGTATTATGTTATGATTTCAGTTCTTTACTGTTAATATTAATGAAATTATTGCGAGTTAAATCGATTTTTTACTGTAATAAGTAGTGCCATCATAATTTATAATCTACATAAAATGATTATTATAGAGCGTGTAAAAGACTTAGTGGTTATTTTGCAATACATATGTGTAGAGGAATAGTAAAGCATGTTGTATAGCAAAATACAAGTGCTTTGCTCCTGTATTGTTTGTTTAATTAGTTGTCATATATATCCCATCTATTTGGGATATACGGCATTTTTAGCGAGCGGGATGCTGTGCCGCAGCACAGACGCTCTATTTAAGAAGTTTTTGTTAATTCTAACAATTATACATTGCATTAATGCATAAATGTTGATAAATCTTAAACGTTTAAAGATTAATTTCAAAGATTTGAAGCTATTTAAAAAAATTGTATCAAGTCCTATTTGTATTCCATTTTTCATTCTGAACAATAAAAATTGTCATATATTAATAAACAATGCAAGTTACGTCGTCATTTTACATCTTATTTATAGATTATTTGTGATTTTCTTATGAATTATATATGAGTGGCCATATTATCCCCCCCCTATGGGATAAATGGCAAAAATGCAGGGGTTTGAAAAAGTTACTTTTTAATATGGAAAATAAATTATTTTAGATTTCTAATATTTT